CGTTTTTATCTACTCGGATTTTAATCAATTGATTCCATAATTTGTTAACAAGATTATTGACATCTCATTACGCATTTTCAGATCTGCACTAATTAAAGGATTTCTTAGCATTTAAAAAGATTTATTTGTATTTAAGAAATCATTTCTTAAACATCATTTCTTAGTATTTATAATATTTCTTAGTATTTAAGAAACATTTCTTAAATACTAAGAAATATTTTTTAAATGCTAATGCTAAGAAATAATGTTTAAGAAATGACTTCTTAAATATCGGAATTGCAAATCTTACTAAAATTATTTACTTCTTAACTAATAAAATTTAAATAAAAAATAAAATATCTTTAAAATTGAAGTCCAATCATATTGAATTGACGAGAATAATTAAAATCGAATCTTTGATCCCGAAGATCTCTCTCGAATTTAATTAACGACGACCAACCTGACCTTTTGACCAATGGACTGAAAGTAAATACACTTAATTCCTTTGCATTACTCCGGCATTACAAAGTTTACCTCATAAAAACAAACTTGTGTAATTAAATAAATGTTTATGCTGGTTTGCAACCGAAATATTTTTAATTAAATATTTAAAAGGCAAGTTTTATGGCTTCGACGTACAAAATAGATTCACTAGCTTTTAGCAAATGTGATGTTGAAAGATATAAAGGTGGAGTATGAGACTTGAATACTCTGGATGCTCGTTTGCACATTACTGAGTCTCTCAAGACCCATGCCAGTAGTAGAGCCGTATAACCGAGTAGCCATCAGATATAGCATCCTACTATCTATCGTATCTATCTCTGTGCCCTCGTCCTGCATTCCGTCTATTCTCTGAGGAATACCCCATATCCACCCTTAATTGCACATCACCCGAGCAAGTAAGACGAATGTTATCCCATTACCAACACATCCCTTGCCGTTCCTTAACTTCCTCTTTACTTGCTTATAAAATCATTCTGTACGTCAACGTGGGTGTTTGTTGAGAATTAGTTTCCACCTACTGAACCATAAAAAGATTTTTACTTAAAAATAACAAATCGCTAAAATTCAATATATCTTTTTTTATTTTTATTATTTTATTATAATTTTTTATTTTTAAAACTAATTTCAATGGAAAGTTATTTTTTAATACGTTAATATTCACCCCTATGAAAAAAAAAAAAAATATATTTTAAATATATTAAAAATCTATAAAAAATATGTATAGTAAATATAACTAACTTTTCGTCGATTTTCATTTATATTTTATATATTTTAAATATATTCAAGATATATATTAAAATACATAGCTAAAAATATAAAAAAAAAATATATATATTTTTAATATATTTAAAATATATATTAAAATCGGCCAAAAGTTAGTTACTAAAAATATATTTAATTCAACAATTTTTAAATTAAATATTTAATACTTTTTTGTGTAGTAATTTGACGGATAAAAATTATTTTTTAAAATTATAAATAGTAATAAGTGCCCCGTCGTATTAAAAACTAGAAAAATAACAGTTCGTAATAACATTTTTTTAAATTCAAACTTTGAATGTTAATTTTCAGAGCTTCCAATCTAAATATTACATTATAAAATCGGTAATAATTACAATCTGAAAGTGTAATTTTTCCAGTTTTTATTACGGAGCGCCATGTAATTTTTCTTTTTTCCGTGTAAATTATTTGACCTTTAAATTTTTAATAATATTGTTATAAAAATCAATTTGTTAAATTTTGTAGAATATAACGTATTAAAATGACAGTATTGAATTATTCAATTTTTATTTAAAAGTGTTAAATATTTAACACTAAGTTTTTTGATGCAATGCAAAATTTTTTACTGTGCATACGTTATTGCACTTTAAAAGTAACTAAACATTTAAATGAATGCAAATAATTTTCCAACGAGTTAATAATTACCAAGTAAAAGTCGGTTAATTATTTCCTTTGAAACTCAATCTATTTTCGCTTTACGGACCGGTCAAAACCCTTTTATATAGACCAGTCTTTTGTTTAAGTCAACTACTATACTGTATTATTTACTTGTTTAATTGTATAGATCCGTTTCACCGGTTATTTACTTAAAGCTTTGATCAGACTAGTTCTGTCAGAAAGAAACTCAATAAGAAAAAAAAAAAAAAAATAAACTATAGAAATAAAAGTCTATTGAAGAATAAAATATATCATCAATTCATTTCTCGAGATAATTGAGGAAAATAATTATTGATAAACTTTTAATACACTTAATTGAATTTTCATTATAAAAACTCATCCAATAAATTAAACTAATAATTAACATTTTATTATTAATAATTAAAACTTTTTTCAGTTCTTTAAACTTGGATAATAAATCAATGACTTAAAAGTTTCCAAAGGATCAATTATTTTTAAATTTAAAGTTATTTAAGGCTTACAACTTTTATCCATAAGAATATAATTGACATAGTTACACTCTTAAAGTTTTATCGATAAATTAACTTAGTATTTTTTTTTTCTTAAATAATTTTCAATTTCCTTGTATCACTTTTAATAACTTGCCGCTTAACTTTAAAATTTAAACTTATTGTAGAACAAAACTTTGCTAATTGGAAAGTACGATAGTTGTTATAACTACAAACTAATTTTTTTTTTGTTTAACAAGATCGACCTTCACACACCTTACCGATTTAACTGTTCAGTTAAGTTGAATCCATGAACAATTTATACAATATACCTAACTTTTGTTTTTGAATCTTTTTAAAATTTTAATCAAATATGTACACGCCTTAGGCGCTCAAAAGTTATTCAGATTGAATATTCATATGTAACTAAATTCTTCCTCGATTTTCCTGGTTAAATATCTATCGAAAAATTCCGATAAAAAAATTTGACGCTTCGACGCCAATAGTATATTTTTAGACCATCTGTTGCAATATGGATTTACAATGGAGCCATTTCACGGCAAATCAGACAGTTCTAAAACTTTGATTCTTTGATTGTTTAGAAGTTCCTCTCTATCTTTGTCTACTTTTCAATACATATCATTTTTATCTACTCAGTTTCGATATATTGATTTCTTCTTTCAATAGTCACAAGTCATAACTCTACTTTTGTAGCATTCGGAAGTGCTTTCATTAAATATGATAACTGATAACTGTAAAAGGTTATATTGTTCAAATTTAATGCAGTTATTTGCTGATTATCAGTTTATTAGTACACTTTAAGACATCAACAAAAAATTTAGTCTTGATTTATTTGTCAAATAGTCGTAGTATATTTTTTATATCACTGAGTGCACTGAGATAAAAAATTTCTTTTTAAAATAATGAGCAATTAATTTGTTGAAGATTTTATTTCTTAGATGAAGAAATAAAAATTGTTCTGGCAGTAACTTTGTTTTTTTTTAAAAAACTAGCAACCTTGCAGTCACTATGTAACTGCCGTGACTTGTGAACTATAAATAAAATTTTGGTTTATTAAATACTGACTTTTGTTAAATTGCTCTGTACTTTTTAAACTATTGACGTTTTTAAAGATATAAGCTCATCCTGATATTACACTCATCAAGAGCTTTCATTTGAGTACCCACATGCATTTTTGATATATTTTTCATATATACATATATATATATATATATAATACACATAAATATATATAAATATATGAAAAATTGATGTGGGTATTCAAATAAAAGGTCTCGATGAGTGTAACATCGGGATAAGCTTATATCTTTAAAAATGTCAATAGTTGACAAGATACAAGGTAATTTCTTAATTATTGACATTTTTAAAGAAATAAGCTCATCTCGATGTTACACTCATTAAGAGCTTTCATTTGAATACCCACATGCATTTTTGATATATTTTTCATATAAAAAATTGATCTGGGTACTCAAATGAAAGGTCTCGATGAGTGTAATGTCAGGATGAGCTTATATCTTTAAAAATGTCAATAGTTCTCCAAGATACAAGGTCATTTCTTAATTATCTATCTAGAGACAGAGCATTTTTGAACACTTTTACCTTAAAAAATATTAAAATAAATTTTAAAATATTTATCACTAGTGAACAATAAATTGTTATTAAAAAAATCATTATACATTTGTAAACAATTACTTAGCATTCATCAAAATAAACTCCTGAAAACTAATTAAATAAATAGTTAAATTAGATTGTCGACAGCGAGATAAATGAATACAGTTTGTGTTAAGAAAATTGTAACTATACAAAGTAACGATTTCTCACCTGTTCCACAACTTCAGACTAACCGTCCTCGGTAAATTCTGGAATCTAATTAGTTCCAAACTCGGGTATTCCCTTTATTTTTTATTTCATTATTAAAACTCTATTCCTATTAGTTTTCTCGCTTTTATTGATACACTAATTAACCATCTCTCGGGAACCTCCTATTTGATATTTGATAGGATTACCCAGAGGACAATGCGAGGAGTAATTAATCTGCGTCCATATTCAACAGCATGCTCGTCGAAAGTGGGTTATCACTGAAAACAAAAAATGGTTTCTAAAAATAAAGCAAAAATACGAGATCGACTTGACTGAAAACTGAAATAGTGAATTTTAAAGAAGAAAAATATGTTAGCTTATGTTTACCCTTGGGTACTGGATAGAAAGAGAAACGTTGGACTTATTTTATCCCAGCAAACGACCCTTTTCAATTTTCTATGGATATATATATATATATTTTTTTTTACGAGATAAAAGACAGTATATGTGAATCAATATAAACGTGGGGGTGTATTTATATATTTGTGTAACCGAAGGAAAATTGATTTTTTCAGATTGTGTATTGTTGTTCGACAGCGGGTGCAAGAGTAAGAGCCGGAAAATTTATTAAAAATTAACACCGAGATACTGATGTTTTCTTCAGCAATCAATTAAATCGGAAGTAGAGATAATAATTATCGAAAAATTTGATGAAGAAAAAAGAAGGGCAGATAATTAATAATTATTATCATTAATAATCATAATAGTTGGAAAAGATTAATGATCGTTTGATTTGGATGGATTTTTATCATGTTCAAATTCAAAAATACTCAGCCCAACATCGTTGAAAGCAATCCAATATGGGAAGAATTTGCGGCTCGAAAACAAACACCGGCGGCTACTGCGGGCCCGGAACATGTTTGGAGGATCTTTGACGCCTACAAAAAAAGCGATGGACAAGTATTTATTTCTCTTTACTTTTATATCTTTTTTTACTACCAGGAATTTTTATTGATATTAAAACTTTTAATTATTATTGCAAAGAAAATATTGTTTGTTTATTACTTAGGACGCGTCTGTGTTTGTCTTTGAAAAAAGGTCTGTTGAAAAATTTCACAAGCCCAAACACAAGGAGACTGTTACTGAAATTTTGAGAAGGTGTGCAAGAAATTTGGAGGACTATCGACATCCTAAATTACTTCAAGTAATTGTTTTTTGTGTTTGTAGTTTTGTTCTGTGAAAATTTCAGGCGTAGAAAATATTGTTTGATTAAAAACTATTTAAATGTTGCAAAAATAATTTTTTTTTTCCTGTTATTATATTCAGTTCAATAGATTAATAGTGCATGCGCATTTTAACTATCAACAATAGGAGCACCGGTATGTCAATAATTAGATGAGCCGGTTTTGTTGACATGTCAATAATTGATAAATTTGATTGATTGATTTTATCACTAAGATTTTATTGTTTTATTGAATAAATTTATGCTTGACAAGTAAGATTGATTGATGAATATTAAATTAGTTAAATGTTATGAAGAATTATGACACTGAAGTTAGCAGTCTAAAAATTTTTGATTTTTTTTTTTTTTAATTAAATTACAACTAAAAAGATATTTATAAAAAATTGCACTTATAGTTTTTCAAGTTTTTAACATATGATATTTTTTTTTTTTTAATTGTTTTAATTGAAATTTTTTCGATAAAAAATTTTTAAATGTCAGCTAACTTCATTTTCATTATGAATTACGGAAAAATATAAATTGTTGGGGTCTAAATAATTTAAATTGTTGATATTTTAACAAACAGAAAATTGCGATTAATTACTAAATCAGATTATCTGTATATGAAATAATCAAGTAGATTTATAACTGTGCACTTTTGACAGTGTACTTCGGGATGATTTTAATGGAAATAATACAAGTTCTAATAGAATATAATTAATCAATTATGAAGGTAATTCATCCAGTAAAAGAGTGTGCGGAAACGCTGGCATTTGCAACAGAACCTGTCCTCGGAAGTTTAGCAAATGTATTGGCCTACAGGGAACAAGCTGCAACAGCAATTCCAACCGCCGCTAATCCAAACTCAAATTATGCGGCCGGCCAACAGAATCCTCATCAGCAGCCACCAGGACATCGACCAATTCTAATTAAGGAATATGACATGGTTCCAATGGAGATAAAGTATGGGTTGTTACAGGTTGTACATTTTATTAAAATTTATTTTCAAGATATTTTTACAATAAAATTTCATTTTTATCCTTACAAATTCAATTAACTTAAACAGGGAAATAATTATTCTTAGATTTTTTTCGAGACTATTTTTTTTAAATAAAATTTTTCTAGCTAAAAATATGAAGAAATTACTGTACAAAAAAAAATCCTTTTCTTCATCATGAAGCACACAATATTTATTTAGACTCTTTTTGATTTAAAGTAATTTGCAAACATTAAAGCAACATAATAGTTGAATGTGATGACTTGTAAATTATTTTCCATCTAGTCTCGTACATTTTTTATAATAGCTTTTCACTCGCATTCTATTCATGTTCACTCTTTTATTTTTCATCTATTTATTTGTCATCAACAATATTCACTTGACACGTCCATTGTAGATCACCGAGGCGCTTTCTTTTCTTCACTGCAGCTGCAAGGTTATACATAAGAATGTCTGTCCCAGTAGCATTATCATAACGAAAAAAGGAACATGGAAGTTATTTGGCCTCGAGTTTATTGGTAAAATTTATATTTTATATCATTTTTATATAAAATATAATATATTTCTATAAATTTTTTATCCTATTGGTTTCATAAAATAAAAATGATCATTAGAAAAAAATTTATTTCACTATTTTAAGGCATTTTAAGGCATCAGTAATCGCGCTATATAAAAATTTGTAGAATGCTGAAGAGTTAATTATTATATTTCTACCATTTTAATTCATTAATTAACACTTATAGAACGGACTAATGACAATGGCCTAGATCCAATACCGTGTCACCCATGGACCAATAAAATATCAAAAATAATTCAACCAAACCTTGATTATATTGCACCCGAAATACAATTAACAAAATTATGCAGTATTCGTAGCGACATGTTTAGTCTTGGAATGGTTATTGCTACCATTTACAATGACGGCAGATCACTTATACAAGCCAATCATAGTAATTCTGATTATATTAAACAATTGGATAATGTAAGTTAACATTTATTTATTAATATTAATTAATTATAGTTCATTTATTAAATCTATTGTTGTTTTTATAATTTTTTCTACCCTCCATTGACAAAAAAATTTTCTTTTTAAATAAATTAACAATCATATTTTAATAAGAAATTAATTTGTTGAAAATTTTCAACAGTTCAAAATTTTTCTGACAGTAAAAAAACTTTTTTTCAACAAATTATTCAGTATTTTTAAAAAATTAATTTCTTATTACAAAATTGCTCATTTTTTTCAAAAGAAATTTTAATAAGAAATTAATTTGTTGAAAATTTTCAACAGTTCAAAATTTTTCTGACAGTAAAAAAACTTTTTTTCAACAAATTATTCAGTATTTTTAAAAAATTAATTTCTTATTACAAAATTGCTCATTTTTTTCAAAAGAAAATTTTTTTTATATTATTTAAAATTTTTTAAATACTAATTGTAGTTTAAATTAACAAGAGAAATTTTTTTCAATAATAAAAATGAATTAAACAAAAGAATAATGATTTTAAAATATTGAAAAACTATTTTAGTAAAGCAAAAATATACTGACATTGATATTTGTGTCAAGGTTAGCATGACCTGATGCGTTAATTTAGTCCACTGAGGGTTAATTTTAAAATAAACCAAGCGCCTGATACAATTTATTTAAAAAATAATTATTTATATAAAAATAATTATTTTTGGTATTGTTTTACAATGAATTTTTGTACACGATAACATTGAAAATAATTTCCAGCTGAATGAAAATGTAGAAAACCTTCTTTCAAGAGTACCTATTGCTCTCCACGAAGCAGTTTCTAGATTACTTCACAAAGATCCCGAAGCAAGACCCATAGCGAAGCATCTTTCGCTTATAAAGTACTTTAGGTAAACACAGTTTAAGAAATAATGATATTTGAATTTAAAATTAAGACATTAAATACACACTTGTAATTTATAAAATAAATTATCCGTTATTTTGATACTGTTATTTCCAGCGATCCTTCAGTGCACGCGCTTCAATTTCTTGATGTAATAAACATGAAAGACCCAAATCAGAAGGCACATTTCTATAGAAATACGCTCAAAGAGGTGCTTCCTTTTATACCTCTGGTAAGAAATTGAAATTTTCCCCTTAAATATTTCCCTACTGTACTTGGAAAAAAATTATTAATCTTTTTACCGTCAACGTCTAATCTTAAAATTGTAGAAATTGTGGTACCAACATATCTGGCCTTATCTCCAAGCAGAATCAAAATCCCAAGAAGTATTTGCGTCAGTACTGCAACCAATGTTATTCATAATTCAACAAAGTAACACCGAAGATTATGAAAAAATAATCTTGCCCTCATTCCGTGAACTATTTTCGAGTCCAAGGTCCGTTCAGGGGACAGTCGTGCTGCTGGAAAACCTCCATGTTGTCTTTGAGAAAACTCCCAGTGAAATAATTAATGGAGAAATGCTCCCAGTACTCTATTCATCTTTTGAGAGTCCAAATATTCAAGTTCAAGTAAGCTAAAATAAAATTTATTAGGATTATCTTCAATTATTTCTAAATGCCGGGTTTAATTTTGTCCATTAGGCAGCGGCATTTGTCGCAGTGTCAAAAGTGTGTGATTATATTGACGAAAATTCGCTGAAAAATATCGTGTTACCGAAGTTAATGCAGGCATTTGAGGGTAGCACGACAGACTCTCGAGTCTTAATGAATTGTCTCTCTAGAATTCTTGAACAATTGGATACTCAGCAAATAACTGACGAGGTATTTCCTTTATTGTGGGAGATAAAACTACAAGAGCCAGATGCCGTTTTGCGGGTAGTAAGTAAGTATGGCTCAATTCAAAACTTTATTCGTAGTTAATCTCCTAATTGGAAAGGTTTTAACTCAAGCGAATTTTACAATCCTCTAATGGATTATTAAACTTAGCCTATATTTTTAAGTCTTTGGTAGTTAATATGAGTTAATTATTATAAAAAAATACACCTACGTTCATTTGAATATTTTTATATATGATTTAGTCCTCAATAGAATATTTATTAGGTTCCATGATTCTTGATTCTCCGACAAAATATCCTCAGACACACTAATAGAAGGATTTCTTAGCATTTTTAAGATTTCTTTGTATTTAAGAAATCATTTCTTAGTATTTAAAAAAAGGTTTTTTTGTATTTAAGAAATATTTTTTAGTATTTATAATATTTTTTAAATACTACACTGATAGAAGAATTTCTTAGTATTTAAAAAGATTTTTTTGTATTTAAGAATTCTTAAATCATTTCTCAAACATCATTTCTTAATATTTAAAAAATGTTTCTTAGTACTTAAAAAATATTTCTTAAATACTAAGAAATATTTTTTAAATGCTAAGAAATGATTTTTTAAATACAAAAAAATCCTTCTATCACTGTAGTCTCGGGGATATTTTTTTTGGAATATTTTGTCGGGGATATTTTGTCAAAAGATCAAGACACCTGATACCATTTATTAATTTAATTTCATCCCTGCGCATGCGCACATTTAATTCCTTTGATTTTTCGTCATCTAAAGTGGCCAATAATAATAATAATAATTTTCTTTTCTTCTAATAATTTTGATCAAACTTATTAGAACTCTTGAATTATTAAAAATCTTCCTTATAAATATTATTTATTTTAAGTTGAAAAATGACCAAACTTTAAAAACATTTATAGAAAAGTTTAGAAATAAGTTTTTTCAACTTCACAACTTAAAAATTGAGATGAAATTTTATTTCTTCATTTGATTTTGTTTGTTTTTTTTTTTTTTTTTTTTGAAACCAATTCAACATTTAGTAAATACATTTTTCACGAAAATTAAATATTGAAGCTATAAAAACTTGCCAACTAATAAATATATTTTTCTTGAAGACATTTATAGGCTTCTGCTGAGCAACAAAAAATACGGACTCTCGATAAACTTATTAGCAACCAGAGTAATGCCCATTCTTCTCCCAGTCACCGTAAATCCGTCCCTGAATATAGATCAATTCACGGTGCTAATGGAGATCCTTCAGGACATGCTAACGCGTATCGAGAGGAACCAAGCGAGTAAATTAAAACTGTCGATGTCCAGTCCGGAGCGTCATCGACCATTGAGACACCAATTTAGCACCGAAAATATGCACGTTCCGCCATTTAACATTCCCGGATTGCGCATTGAGCAAAGAAAGACGTCGTCTGCTGAAGACATGGTCCGTAAAACTTCTATTGGCTCGATGTCGATGACTGCTTCTGCTGAAAACATGACGAGGAAAAATTCAATGTCTGGTAGTATATTGTATAACTATAATCAATAATCAACACATTAAATTTGGATTTATAGGGGTAAATCACGCAATACAATACACACTTACCTTGAATAAAATTAATCAATAGGTTTACTGGGTGGTTGGTGGTTTGGTTCGTCATCATCAGCAAACGAAGGTGGTTTCCTACGGGTCGCCAGTGCCTTCCCAAGTCGTCGACTATCAGACAATACTCTTATGACACCCAAGATACGCATTGCGCCGTCATGCTCAAGCTCACCTGGAGGCACTCCTGGTGGCGGGTTACCTATTAGACGTCATTCCAGTACGGGACCACAAGAACGTCGTGGCTCCAATGTCAACCTATCACCTCCAACGGTAATTGTTGTTGTTGTTGTTGTTGTTGTTGTTCTATACGATATATCCGTCAGATGGTAGATCATAGTTAATAGATCCTTCAATCTAAATCTTTTAGATAATACAATACAATCTTTTATAAATTCTTATAAATTAGGGCGCAAATCGCTTTTGAAGTAAATATTTTTTAATGTTTATGCATTTTAATATTTTGGCTAAATAAATTTATAATGGAATCTTAAAATTTAGGATATGTTTAAGATATTGAAAATGTACTTATAGAATGATTCTTAATTAGTATTTAAGAAGATTTCTTAGTATTTAAGAAGATTTCTTAGTATTTAAAAAATATTTCTGAAATACTAAGAAATGATTTCTTAAATACTAAAAAATTCTTCTATCAGTGTAATAGAATTTTTTCTTTAAGTTCAAATTAAATATTTTAACTTGAAAAAAGATCTATACTACTTAATTAAAAAAAAAATATTTTTTTCTTAATTTCACTCTTGTTTTGGGACATTTAATTGTCTTCCAAAAAGAAAATAACAGAAACAAAAACTTAAGGATAAAAAGAAAAATTTATTTCTTCAATAATTTTACAATTTTCTCTTAAATTACTCGAATTTCTATTGTTATATCATCCAAAATCCGTCTTAAATATATTGTACAATGAATTCAAGTAAAATATTGATTAAAAATAATTTTTTTGTACCAAAAAATTGTAATTTAAATCAAAAAGTTTATTTATATCATCTTCTCGGGTTTTAGACGCGTTACCACTTTAATAGCCGAGACAAAGGACGGACTAATTACAAAGTACCATTATTATTATTTAATTTAGGGCGGAATGCCGGCAACAAGTAATAGTGTGCCGTACCTTCTGAGCTCGAGTATGACAAGCATTCGTAATTCCCGTCGACCGTCAGTGTCATCAACAACATCCCAACAAGGCTCGGGTCTGCTGCAGCAATTTGGCACCGGCATGGTAAGACAACTACCCCCCATCTGCCTGAATCTGAATGGGCTACCAACACCACCATCACCACAACTACCACATCTACCAATACCACCACTCTCTCCATCAATCCAGCCATTGGGACAGCCTTCCCACTGACCCTTGGTTAAGATGTAAGAATCTTCTGTTTCGTCTCTCAGACAAAACTCCTTACCTCTTTCTAATTATATTTTTATAATTTTATTATTTCATCTATTTTTATTTTAGTTATTATTTGTCATATTTTAATTTTTTGAACCTTTAAATTGATGTGATTGATGCGATCGTTGAAATTGGCATACTTTTTGATTGTATGTGTTATTAATTGATTGATGAAGTTAGCATTTTATTCAATTGGCTTTGTTGTTACGGGATATTATTATTTCAAAATTTCGTCTGTTATTCTTTGGTTGCAGTGCCAATTGTTCTCTGGTCGGTCTTAAACAAGTGGCTCTGTGGATTTTGCGGTGTTGGTTGGTTATCAAGCGTGCATACTCATCAATATGTCAGTACACACCAACATGCTATTATAATCATCACAGTAGTAATAGATATTATTACAATAATAATAATAATAACATCAACAACATTATTAATCATCTTAATATCAAGAATAAATACGCGACACACTGGCATTTCCGCATTGATACGTTGCAGAATCAACGGGGTAATTGGGATCATTATTATCCGGATGATGACATTACGCCATCAACGAACCAAGTAGCTATTGTCGTGACTATTGATGGATCTTCCGGATCATCATCCACTGAACAAATACGCCCGCAATAATAATTATTATCATTTACACTTAATACTTTATATACTTTCAGTATTGTATATACCGACACATACATATGTATTATATACAGTCAGTCATATCATTTTACATTTTTTTTATTAGGAAGAATATATTTATATTATTATAAATTATTGTTATTGTTATTCGCGTGGGAAAATCGGGTTAAATAAGCTTTCTAATTTTTTTTTTTTTGCAATGGAGGAGATTAATTTAGTACTTTGGGGAAAAATAATAGTCTTGTAATTTTTTTTAATATTAAAAATAATTTTTAATTTTTAAAATAAATTTTTAACTTTTTTTTTGCAATATTAAAAAGTAAAAAAAATTTTTTTTTTTTTTAATAAATTTTTATACTTTCTTTTAAAGTCAATTTTTACAATTGATAAAAAATTATTCGGTGAATTTAGCAAAAATAAAAATTTGTAAATAATTTTAATTAAAAAAAAATTTTTTTTAGTAAAAAAACTCTTCGGATTCAAAGTAATAAATAAATTAAAAAATTATAATTTTATAAATTGGAAAAAAATTAAAAATATTGAAAACTATATCAGTTTTTTATTAATAATTATATTTACAAAAAATAAAGAATATGATTTTCTAATTTTTTTTTGGTCAAAATTTGGCCATTTTTTTTGACAAAAAAAAAAAATTTTTTTAAATTCCAAGACAATAAAATTATTATTTTTCCCTAATTCAAAATTCTCCATTGTAAAAATTTGGAAAACTTTTCAGCCGATACCTTTAATTTCATATCAAAGCGATGATATTTATAATTATTTATAATTATAAAAGATATTTTATTAATTTATCGTTTTATATACCCGTATATTTAAATTATGTGAGCAAAAAATCATACGTGAATGTTTATATATTTAGAAAAAAAAAAAAAGATTTTTCAATAATTGGATTAAAATTTTAATTAAATAATTTATATTAATTCTAAATAAAATTCTTTAAAATTAGTAATAGAATTATTTTAAGAAAGGACAATTCTTGTGCATAGCACAAGATTTTATTTATAATAATAATAATAATAATAATAATATATAAACGAAATGCAAAGAAAGTATAGTTTGGAAAATGCCGAGGTAATTTACAAAAATAAGTAAAAGACCATAGAAACTCGGTTATTAACTTAAATAAATATACTTGGTAACATATCCTCGGCCTCGTCCAAAGATAATATTTTTTTTCAACAATAGATTTAATAATAATAATAATAATAATAACAACAATAACAATAATAATATTAATAATAATATAATGGAAAAAAAGAGATGATTATATGAAATAATAAAATAAGCCGTGGCAATATTATCTAACGATTAAAAAAAATATATCTAAATATATATATTCTATATAAATTATTTCTTCATTAAAAATTCTAAGTCTAAAACTTATATTACAGTTAATATGAAGTGAATAGAGAGAAAAACAAATATTAAGTAGAAAAGGCCAGATCTTATCTGACTTGTCGTCTCAATGTCAATCGTCAATTTTTGTCTACTTTAATTAATTACCTAATCAAATTGCATTAACAATCACTACTTCTAAGGTTAGATTTTATACTAGCGACGATCGTAAATTATACGAGGGACACTTTTCAATCTGGACTGCAATAACTGAAAGTTTTCGTGGATTTGCTGCCCTCAAAACTTCGAACAGTTGATTTTGCGATGATCGATCCATTATTTTTTATCTAATATATTCAAAAGTTTAAGTAATTAATCAATATCAGTAATGAAAATTAAGTTGGCCGACATCTAAAAATTTTTAGAATTTTTTTCAAGTGAAAAAATCATTACAGAGAAATAAAAAAAAAAATTTCAGTTGTAAAAAACTTGAAAAACTATAAGTTCAATTTTTTAAAAATATTTTTTAGTAATAATTTAATAAATGAAAAATAAAAAATTAAAAACGTCGGCTAACTTTAATAATAGTAAAGTTAGCCGACATTGTTAATTTTTTAATTATTAAATTAGAATTAAATATTATTTTTAAATAATTGCACTTATAGTTTTTAAAGTTTTTTTTAATTTTGTTAATAAAAAAAAATTCTAAAAAATAACTTAATTTTTATAATTAATCAGATGATATTTTAAATTAAAATTTTATATAAAAAAAAATTTTTTTCCAATTTTTTTACTCAATAGAAATTATAAAAAAGAATTTTTCTTAATAATTTACACAACAAATCAATAGAAGCATTTAAAATAAATAGAAATTATAAATTTTAAAGAGTATAATTAATTATTAATTTAATTTTCATAATTAGGATCAATTAAAACTAAAAATATTAAATTTAAAAAATAAAATTATGAAAGTTACAATATTGAAAGTCAATATTCGGCCAAAGTTCGGCTGTTCGAAGAAATGAAAATAAACAACTAATTTATTTTGTCGACGCTAATGAAATGCTTTAAACTACACTGGCCTTTTAAAAACATAAATAATCAATGACCTTAATTAAACAGATGACTTAGCTGCAGTATAAAATATATTACTGACTCATATAAGGTCACAAATAGACCGTTTTTGTACCTGTAATGATACATATAGAAGACAATTTATTTATCTACCGGACGTATATTTATAAATATATTAAAGTATCTAATTGGTCTAATATATGGAGATATTTATGAAAATATATATTATTCACAAAGCAATTTCATTTTTCGCATTGTGCAATACGAAAATAAACAAATAAAAGATATTAACTATTCAAGATTATAATCAATGTAAACAATATTAATAATAAAAAGAGGTGCTGGTCGCCGAATTTAACACGATCGTCTCAAAAAAGAGTATATAGATGTTTAATCAAAAATTAAATAACAACTCACTTAATCAAATTACTGCAATCAGCATTATTAATAATAATAACAGTAACAATAGCTGTGCATCCAATTTAGACAACTTTTTCCATTGAGTAAAACTTTACAACCCTTAAATTAATAGGAATTCCAAGTGGTAATTGCATAATTGGGCTCATAATTCTTCATACTCTAGATATTCAGTAATTTAACTAAACACTTAACTATTTACTTGCATGATAAGTAACATGCGCAAGCGAGAAATATATAACAGCGGTGGAATTATCCACCATTCCATTTCTATGCATTAAATTAATAATTCATGTGTTAAGCGTTTGAAGACTACAAAATTAAGTGTCCTTAAAATTTAATAAGCGAATAACCACGTACAGCTGAGATATTTGGAGGCTTTTACCTTTTTTATTGTTTAGATTTTTAAGTTTGTGTTTTTTGAGTGCATTTTGATGCTCTAGTTAAATATACTGCTGCGGAAAAATTAAAAAAAAATTTTTTTTATAATTTATTTAAACTTAAAAAAAATAATTAAGCTTATAGAAATTAATTTTAAAAAAGGCTTAATTTTTTAATAATGCTTTTTATAAAGAGAATTTTTTTTGTACTTGAAAATTAATATTATAATTTTAAAAAATATTATATTGAAAATATTCAATTTATTTAAGAAATTTTCTCAAAAAAAATTAACTTTGCTTTAAAATATTTTTAATTGAAATTAATCACAAAAAAAATGTTTTGCTTTATTTAAAACGCGTGACACTTAATTTTAATAAATAAATATATATGAAAATAATTATTGTTCTTATAAAAATAAATATAAAATCAATAAAAACAATTGTTAATTTTTTTTTTTATTCTTCGTTTGTTGAAACTCTGTCAAAAAAATATTTTTTGTTAATAAAAATTGAAACTTATAAAGTCTGAATTGTAAAATAAAAAAAGAAAAAGTAAAAAATTGTTTTAACATATCAAAATAAAAAACTAGAGAATTAAATGCACTCCTTAAAGACAATGACAATCATTGACAATCAAAGTATTTAATAATTACTTTTAAAAAATTTTTTAAATTATACATTGATGATTATAATAATTGTTTTGCCCTCACATATTGTGTGCAACTACTTAAGCAACAGACAATCGATCATTTGGGGACTGTGATCTCATCCAAATGCTAAAAAAGAATATATTAATAATTGTACTTTTAAGAAAGTGAGAAAATAATAATAAAAATTCTTTGTTTTTTCATTAGGTTAATTTTTTTAAGTAATTATTTATGGTTATAATCTTCAATTGTACATGCGTAAAATGAAATAACATGGCATTATATAACAAAACTTTATATAAAATTTGAAAACACTATACTGCATTCACTTTTGTGCGCTTTTAATCTACTCTATAATAATCCTAGCTACAAAATATAAATAATTGCAAGTAATTTTTGATGACTTATAAAGATAAAGTGAAGATAAATGAGTAAATACAAACGGCAAGGCAAATACTTTTTTAATTTGCAACACAGAGTCAATAAAAGCAATTGGTTGATACTGTAAAGACTGTCAATTGCATTAAAGTGCGGGAAATGTAAGAATTATTAATAATAATTGTTGTGCTGTACACTTAAGTTGGCCTATGATAAAAAAACGCAGAAAGAAAATATATTTTTAACAATAAATTTCTTGCAATTTTAAATATTTAATAATATAAAACAGAACTTCACTTGAAACTGAATATATTTTAATGGATAATCATGATAATTATAAGACATAAGAACTATAGAATTAATGGTGCAACTAATTACCAATACAAAAATAAAAAAAGTCAAAAAATTTCTCAAATGACTGATTATTATTTTGGAAAGTGTAACAAATTCCCTAACTGTGTTAATCACCGCACATGTAACAGGCTAGATGCAAACAGTTAATGTATGATAATAAATAAATGTGGGAAGTAAATTCTAATTTTTTTTTATTTACCTGAACTTTTTTTTTTTATTCAAATATCCTAATTAATCAAACCTTTTCAAAACCATGACTCCAAAAAAATACAATTAATTTTTTTCTTTAATTTTGAAGGACCTCCTGAGGAAAATTCTGTTTTTAACATTATTTATTTTTACAAAAAAACGACATTATCTAAAATAATTTATAAATTTTCAACTATAT